AAAAACAAACTAAAGTAAAAGAGAGCTGGAGATGTAGCTCAAATTGTAGGTGCCTGCTTAGCAAATGCAAGACTTTGAGCATAAACCCCAGTTCCACTAAAGGGGGGGAAAAAAGCCATATTATGATATTTCATGTATGCTCATTAAGTTTGTCTTCCTTTTCCTCCTTCTTACAAATCTTGTGGCTTGATTAGGCATGTTCCTGGTCAGGCTTGTGTGGCATCTTGTTGTTGGCAATTTTTGAACTGCAGTATGGTGCAGGAGTGACAGAGGTAAATACATGCATGCACGCTCAGGTTCTCAGGCCAGCACTAGAGGTGTATTCCCTTCTGGGTGCCGTAGTCCAGAGCACCAGGAATTTTCAGAGGTGGGAAATGGAGCCTGAACATGGAATCTGGGGAAAGGACCAGGACCTGCTTGGGGCCTGAACAAGTGGGTAAATGCTGAGAGAACAGATCAGGTGGTGACAAAAAAGCTGCCACATCATCTAGAAACCACAAGCCCACAAGGCAGAGGCTTCCTTCAGGCCACATGGCTGCTACTGAAGAGCCAGTCATGAAGGAATGAGCACTGGGGTATTGAAGGAGAACAGCCACTGCCCTGGTGTCTCTGAGCCAGGCTGCTGCAGGCCCAGGCTCCAAAGGACAGTTAAGAACAGGAGCAGAGGGGCTGGGAAGGTGGCTCAGTGGTAGGGCACTTCCTTGCATGCCTGAGGCCCTGGGTTCGATTCCTCAGCACCACATATGCAAAAAGAAAAAAGCCGGAAGTGGTGCTGTGGCTCAAGGGGGTAGAGCGCTAGCCTTGAGCTGAAGAGCTGAGGGACAGCGCCCAAGCCCAGAGTTCAGGCCCCACGACCGGACCCAAAAGAAAAAAAAAAAAGAACAGGAGCAGAAAGCTCACTTCTAAGCCGGGCGCTGGTGGCTCACGCCTGTAATCCTAGCTTACTCAGGAGGCTGAGGTCTGAGGATCGCGGTTCAAAGCCAGGCCGGGTAGGAAAGTCCGTGAGACTCTTATCTCCAATAAACCACTAGAAAACCGGAAGTGGTGCTGTGGCTCAAGGGGGTAGAGCGCTTGCCTTGAGCTGAAGAGTGCAGGGACAGTGCCCAAGCCCAGAGTTCAAGATCCACGACCGACCAAAAAAAAAAAAAGCTCACTTCTAGGGCTCACATTGTGTCTGCTAGAGGTCCAGCTTCTTCAGTTTAGTATGTAGTGTGTAGTATGCCTACTTACTTCTTCCTAGCCCTGGCCAGGTGCCTGACTAAGGGCTCATGATTGCAAATAAGAAGAACCCAGCTCAGCTGGGTGCCAATGGCTCACTGGCTACTCAGGAGGCTGAGATCTAAGGTTACTCATTCGAAGCCAGCCAGGGAAGAAAGGTATGTGAGACTCTTATCTCCGATTAACCACCAAAAAGCTAGAAATGGAACTATGGGTCAAGTGGTAGAGCACCTGCCTTGAGTGAAAAAAGCTACAGGAGGGGCTGGGAAGGTGGCTCAGTGGTAGAGCACTTGTCTTGCATGCCTGAGGCCCTGGGTTCGATTCTGCAGCACCACATAAGCAAAAAGAAAAAAGCCAGAAGTAGCGCTGTGGCTCAAGTGGTAGAGCGTTAGCCTTGAGCTGAAGAGCTAAGGGACAGCACCCAGGCCCAGAGTTCAGGCCCCACGACTGGACCCAAAAAAGAAAAAAAATAAGCTACAGGACAGTGCTCAGGTCCTGATTTCAAGCCCAGTACTGGCTTTCTCTCTTTCTCTTTCCTTCTCTCGCTCTCTCTCTCTTTCTCTTTCCTTCTCTCTCTCTCTCTCTCTCTCTCTCTCTCTCTCTCTCACACACACACACACACACACACATACACTAACTCAACTCAAATTAGGTTAAGTAAAAGAGAGCCTCCTTGGTGAGCCTGGCAACTTGAGAACCTTAGAGGATGGTTCAAGTATGGTTACATGTAGTGTTTGACAATGTGTTGTGGGTTACTTACCTCCATTTCTCAGCTCCTCTGAGCTTCACTTGTTAGATAGGCTGGTTTTGAGTGGCAGCAAGCTAAGCATTGACTATCCCAAGCTGACATTATTTGCATAGCTTATTGTTACCGATAAAGTTTATTACTCAGTAATACTGGGCAGGCATGGAGGACTGATTCTGCCTGACTAGGTCTGGGTTACATGCTAGTCTTTTTTTTTTTTTTTTTGTGGTCCAGTCGTGGGGCCTGAACTCTGGGCCTGGGCACTGTCCCTCAGCCCTTCAGCTCAAAGCTAGCACTCTACCACTTGAGCTACAGTGCCACTTCCGGCTTTTTTTCCTGCTTATGTGGTGCTGAGGAATCGAACCCAGGGCCTCAGGCATGCAAAGCAAGCACTCTACCACTGAGCCACCTTCCCAGCCCTACATGCCAATCTTAAACCAATCATTTTCTAAGAAGTAAGGATATTCTAACTGGTTAGCCCTAATCACAAACATCCTTGAGGAAAAAGTAGGGACCAAAGGACTACATATAATTACTTTGGCCCAGAGAAAGAAATGCCAATTAGGTAAGATGTATATAAAATCAGCCGAGGTCCCTGGCCTTGCTTTGCTGGAAGTACAATTGTCCCCCAAGCCCACAAGTATACAACCATCTGGGCTCTGGAGGTTGATGTCTGTGTAACAGTGTACTGGCATCCATATAGTTCTCAGGTGTGTGGAGTAGGAACTCTCAGGCCTCTTTATAAGAAATTGAAGTTTTAGACCCCAGACCCAAACTGCAGGAGCTTCACAGGTCAGGACCAGCCACTGGCTCCTAGACACCAAGAAGAGACATAGTCAAAGGCAGAGCAAGGTAGTCTATTGCACTGTTCAGGCAGCCATGGAAAGAGACAAACTGAGCATTCCAGCCCATCTTCAGCCATCTTCAGGGTACAGATATGAGCCTTAGCTCTAAACAGAACTGGGGGAAGAGGGAGAGAAGAATACATAATGTTCAAACAGTTCAAACAGTGCCAACCATAGAGCACTTGGCTGACCATTGGCTCAGTCCTTGTTCTCAAGGGCTTCTGGGGTAGTTATTGGAAGTCACTGTTGCTTGAAGGGTGGTCTGTCTTGAGCTTGAGGAAGCTCTTGCTTTTTTTTTTTTTGCCAATTGTGGGGCTTAAATTTAGGACCTGGGAGGGCTGTCCCTGAGTTTTTTTGCTCAACGCTAGCACTCTACCACTTGAGCCACAGCTCCACTTCTGTTTTTTTGGTGCTTAATTGGAGATAAGAATCTTACAAGCTTTCTTCGCAGGCTGGCTTTGAACTGTGCCATCTAGATCCCACCTCCTGAGTAGCTAGGATTACAGGTGTGAGACACCACAAAACTCTTGTTCTATAGGGAGCGTTTTAGTCTCTTGACACAAAGTTGTCATTGATCAGTCCTATCTTTCCTGATTCCCTGGCGGTAGCAAAGTGATTACAGAATGACTTAGAGCAAAGATGCATATAAAATGGAGGCAGAGATGCCAAGATTTTTTTTTCCCTACTTTTCATTAATTTGTGAGCCCAAATTAAGTAGTCAGTGCTTCACAACAAATGCAACTTTTCATTATGGGCTCTGTGGACCCTCAAGTGAGCTGCCTGTGCATGTAGTAAGCTCAGGGAAAGCAGTCTTTCACTAGTCTGTTTGTCTCAGGGAGTCCAAGGGGATGTTGACCACTAACACCAGTTGGCCTCTGGATCTACAAATCTGGGTCTGATGTAGCTATCAGCCCCCTCCCCCATGCTGGGGATTGACTCTCTTTATGAGTTTCAATCTGATTTTGGTGACACCTGCAGTTTCTGTCAGGCAGGGGACAAAGTGGCCAGGCTGGGCCCTGGCAGATGAGGCTTGTCTTCTGCGCTGCTGAACCTAGCACATGGAGTACAGAGGCCCAGCTGGATCCTAGTGTGCCCAAGTATGTAGCAGCCCCAGCCCCATCACCTGCTGCCCCTTTTTTTTTATTTAGGTCCGGTCATGGGGGCCTGAACTCTGGGCCTGGGCGCTGTCCCTCAGCTCTTCAGCTCAACGCTAGAGCTCTACCACTTGAACCACAGTGCCACTCCCGGCTTTTTTCTTTTTGCTTATATGGTGCTGAGGAATCGAACCCAGGGCCTCATGCATGCAAGGCAAGCACTCTACCACTGAGCCACCTTCCCAGCCTCGACCTGCTGCCCTTTGATACAGCACCTCTCAGGACTTTTCTTTTTCTTTTTGTTCCCTTCCTCAGTTTTTTCTTCTTTCCATGTAGCCCAAACTGGCTTTGAACTTGTAATATTCCTACCCTAGACTCCTGAGTGCTGGGATTACAGACATGCCCCACCACAGCCAGCGAGGTTGCCAGTGTTGTGTTTTTATTATCACCAAAACATTTTGTTCCTTCTCGAGCTTGTCTGTACTGTGAAAAGGTCAGCATGGAGATCTTGTTGTCTTCCTTCTCACTGCAGGCAGACGTCAAGAGTGTCAGAGCTCCCCAGATACGTCTCATTACCCTCGTCCAGTGCATCCTTTGGGAGTGTTTATCCCACTGGTCGAGTTGCCCTGGCCTCTGTTTACCTTTTTTCTCATGAGCCACAGCCACAGTCTAATATTCCTTCCCTCCTCTCCCCTCTAGACCTCAGGAAGTTTGTTTTTTTAATTATTTAAGTCCTATGCCACCACTGCCTATAATGAATCTATGGAGACCTTTCCAGAAAATGTCCCCTTTAACAAAACATCCTGGAAATTTGCCTAAGTTTCAGATTTTTTTTTAAACCTGTGTGCGCGTGTGTACACACACACACACACAAACACACACACACACACACACATTCCCCCACAGGGCCTCCCTCTGATTAAAATTTTAACAATGCCCTGCATTTGTTCAGTTTTAGTAGACTATCTCTGAGGGGTTTGATCACCAGAGAGCTGCCCATGGGATGGACTTTACCAAATTTCCATCCTCACAGGAGAATCCAGGCCTGGGTTTGGCTTCAGCTGGGCGTTCCCTGTGGCTGCCACTTATTGACTTAAGTCTCAGCAATTCAGAGATTCTTCTAGAGCGCCTGGGTCACCCCTGACAACCGTGGGAGGGAGGCCCTCCTCCTGGCTGGGCTCCACAGGGCCTTGGTGGCCACCCCTGCTTCCTGGTAGGTGTTGCTGGGTCTTGTGGTTCGGAGGACCTGGGAAGATGTTTCTGTCTTTCCCAGGAACCAGGGTGCAGTTGCTGCATGGGATTTTTCCAGAAATTTGTATACTCATGGGAAAGAGTGTGGGTCTTACTGGGAGAGTGTTTAGTTAATGGTTGACAGAAATTTGCTTTCCTGGCTGCCCAGAGCCCTGCTGCAGGAGGAAGAGGCAGTTGGAGAAAAGCCAGGAGTGTCTCTTGCCAAGGACTGTTACTCTGAACACTTTCCACTCCCTTCTTCCAAGTGTCCCAGTGGACAGGGATGAAGTTGGGGTGTTGAGGTTTGTCTGTTTTGAGCAACAGGTGGGCTTGGGACAAATACCACCCCCCCCATCCCCAATGAGAACTAATACAAGTTGGTAAACTCTTGACTGCCTATCTCCCTGTGCATAGGCTGGAACTGGGGCACCCTGGCCCTCATGTTTGTGGTCAACCAGCACAGACTGTGAAAAGTCCTCAGGTAGCCAAGAGACAAAGCTAACAAAATACAAGGGCCACAACAGAGGCAGAAGTAAATAGCCCAAGCAGCTTTTTTTTGTAGTGTGAAAGAATTTTAAGTGATCTACAGATGAGCATTTATAACATTTGAGTCGTTATTTCTTTTCATGATTTTTTTTTTTTTACGCTGCTGGGAATCAAACCCAGGGTGGAGTGTTTTCATATATAGGAACATAACTTTTTTTTTCTTCTCCCACTTGCCTTTTATTTATGCACATGATAGGATTTTCTATTCATGCTGGAGATAGGAAATTTCCTCTGAAAACAAATTTAAGTAAAAGAGTGAGTGAAGGAAAAGGAAGATGGGGAGTAGAGAATGGCGTGGGAGCCAGGCAGGCTTGGGAAAAGCATGCTTAGAGGAGTTCCGAGATGGCAGAAGGAATAGAATTGGTGATGGGGTCAGAGAGGAAGAACACTAGCCAAGTGGAGATTGGCGGGTGAGTGTACTTATAGCTCCAGCAATGTGGGTGTGAGTCTTGGTGTCAACTCAGTCTTCTCAGGGTGGATAAGTCCTGAAGGGACTGGAGGGTGGGTTTAGACTACCTGGAGAGGACCATCAATGGGAGGGTATGCACTTTGAATTTAATTCCTGAGGCAGTGGGAGCCATTGAAGGTACTGGAGGGGGGAAGTGGTTCAGTGTGGTACTTTATAAAGAGCCTCCTTTATTTGTGATGGGTATCAGGACTGGAGACAGGATGATCAGTCAGGAGCCTAAGTAAAAAGATTATTAAGAGATCAAACTAAGGCCAGAGCCACAGAACCGATCTCCTGCTGCCTCTGGCATGCAGCCCAGAAACAGCAGAGAGAAGCAGGTCCGATAGGTAGCCAGACCTTGGTCTGACTCTGGGAGTCAGTGGATGCTGGGCTGAGCTGAGGTCAGAGAGTATCAATGGAGGCCTGAAGATGGAGCCGCCTCTCCTGCACAGGACTCAGAGGAAAGGAGTGGATTGGCCCAGTGACCTGCTTCCTGGCACAGCACAGAATGTTCTGGAATGTTCCTGGGGAACTAGGTGGAGTCTGCCGAAGGCAGCTCTTCTGGCCAGAGTTCTGAAAGGGGCAGGAAGAATGTGATTTCCTGACTATTGTTGGTAAAAAAAAACAAACAAAAAAACAGCCTTGACTGATAGCTGGGGTGGGGCCGGGGGGAGGGGGTGTTACAATGGGGGGGGGAGGAAACGGGGAGGGGGAGTCATGGTTTCATTTTCCAGTGAGGCCTGTCAGCATCTGGGGTACTTCTTATTTATTTAGTTCTCACTTTCCCCTCTCTCCCCACTGGTGTCTGAGAAGCCTACTACCAAGAGTTCAAAAACCCAGCTTGGTTTCAAACACAGGTTGTTACATTTTTTCCTTTGAGGGCCTACTATGTATGGATGCTAGGTTTGGTCCTAGGGCTCCCCCTATAGGAACCTGCAGAAGAGGAATGGCTTGTGGGGTACAGAAGAATGGGGTGCAAAGAAGCAGTACTCATACTGGGTTATAGAAGACTCCAAATTGCCAGTGTGTGTTTCTTTTTTTGGGGGGGGTCAGTCGTGGGGTTTGAACTCTGGGCTTGGGTGCTGTCCCTGCGCTCTTCAGCTCAAGCGAGCACTGTAGCACTTGAACCACAGCACCACTTCGGCTTTTCTAGTGGTTTATTGGAGATAAGAGTCTCATGGACTTTCCTGTCTGGGCTGGCTTTGAACCTCAATCCTCAGATCTCAGCCTCCTGAGTAGCTAGGATTACAAGCATGAGCACCTGGCTGCCAATATGTGTTTCTGAGTGGCCAGACTAGGCAAAACATCTGCCTGGTGATGCAGATCACTGTCACATTCTTCTGTGTGCGCAAGGCACCTTGGCAGTGTGCTAGGCACATCAGCCAAGAACAGGTGCTGAAGGTATCCCAACAGTGCTGTCGTGCAATTGAGCCATGCTGTGGATAAGGCGTGACAGAAATGCCAGCTGAAAAATCCTGAGGATCTGTTTTTCTAGAAGATGTTTCTGGAAGTTACCACTTAGAGTCAGGGAGAAGCATTGTTACAATTTTAAAATAGTTAACAGCCAGGGGACAGTGTCTCTGTGTGTGTGTGTGTGTGTGTGTGTGTGTGTGTGTGTGTGTGTGTGTGTGTGTGTGTGTGTGTGTGTGTGTGTGTGTGTGTGTGTGTGTGTGTGTGTGTGTGTGTGTGTGTGTGTGTGTGTGTGTGTCCTGAGGGATGTTTTGTGGGGGACTTTTTGTGACTGGGCTCTCTCTCCTATCAGCCTTCTTACTTCAGGGAAAGCATGGGAATCAAGGTGGTCTTTGACATTTCACAGCTCCCCAGGGGATGACCCCAGCACTGCCCCAAACAGTGCCAGGAGCTGGGACCTCTGGACAGTCATTAATCTACCTAAGTTTTCTGAGTTTGTTTCCAGCTCTAACATTTGGAGAAGCGAGTACTGGGAGGCCAGGCCACTTCCTGGACTGGGTGTCTGGCCACTACCTGCCAGGCCTGACTGCTTCCATGTATTTTCCACTGCCACCTCCTCCTTTGAGCCTCCTGGGATGGCTAAAGGGGGGGTCTTTCCTCCTTCACTGTGATTCCCCAGGGCCGAGATCTGAGAATTGAGGTTTGAAGCCAGTCTGGGGCAACAAAGTCTGTGAGACTCTTATCTCCAATGAACCACCAAAAACTAAAACTGGAGCCGTGGCTCCAGTGGTAGAATACCAGCCTTGAGCATAAAAGCTAAAGAGCAGTACTCAGACCCTGAATTCAAGCTTCATTATTGGGGCTTGAATAAATAAATTCTTTCCCCAGAGCAAAAAAAAAAAAACCCAGCACAATCTTCATCAATGGGAAAATGTTTTGTTCTCCACATGGGAATACTGCTACATCCTTCAGAATGTTTCTGTCAGTGCCCTCCGAGGAATGCCTGTCTGTGTGTGCATTTATTTCTGTAAGGTCCACTGGGTCTCCACCACCTGGCCCTGGAGGGAACACAGCCTGGTGCAAGAGTGAGAGGGTCAACAATACTAACTGCAGTACTTTTTCTTCCTGGCTTATATGGTATCCTAATTTGAATCCATGCATGTATTTATTTACTTGTTAATCTCCAGAAGGTTCCTGGAGAGAAGGGTCATCTCTATTTTGTTTGCCCTGAACACCCTGAGCTGAGAGACAGAGCATGAGCTGAATCCCCAATGAACCAGACAATGGTGGTAATAAAGGCTGGGGCTAGCCAGGTGCCTGTAGTTCACGCCTGTAATCCTAGCTACTCAGGAGGTTGAGATCTGAGGACCACAGTGCAAAGCCAGCCTGGGCAAGAAAGTCTGTGAGACTCTTTACCACCAAAAAAAGGCTAGAAATGGAGGAGTGGTTTAAGTAGTTCTAGCCTTGAGCTAAAAAGCTAAATGTCAGCACCTAAGCTGAATTCAAGCCCCCCCCCCCCCCCCCCCCCCCGCCACACACACACAAGGCTGGGGCTATGCCAAAATCACAGCCACTGGAGAAGCACAGAGAAAAAAGAAACCTCTCTGCAGCCATCCCAGGAGGCTCCAAGGAGGTAGTAGCAGTGGAAGATACTTGGAAGCAGGCAGTCTTGGCCAGCAGTGGCCAGACACCCAGTCCTGGAAGAGCCTGGCCTTCCATCACTTGCTTCTCTGTGCTTGGCATAAATGCCACTCTTAATGAGGAAAATGAGAACTGGTGTTATGAATAGACAAGTAAAATGGTATCATTGAGTACTGTATGGTACAGCCTCTGTGTGTACATGTGCATGTTTGTGTGAATTTGTTGATGGGTTGGATGGGATTATTTTTTTCAGGGAGGGGGGTGTTATTTGTACCAGTACTGGGGCTTGAACTCAGGGCCTGGGTGTTTTCCCCTCAGCTTTTTTGCTTAAGCTGGCACTCTACCACTTGAGCCACAGTTTCACGTTTGGCTTTTTGGTAGTTAATTGGAGATTAGAGTTTCACAGGTTTTTCTGCCTGGGCTGGCTTCAAACCAGAATCTTCAGATCTCCAGCCTCCTGAATAACTAGGATTTTAGATGTGAGCCTCTGGCGCTTGGGGGTTGGTTTTTTGCTGTGGCCTTGCCAGCAGACCACCAATCCCAACCCAGACAGCCTTGTGGCCTTCCCCTAAGTTACTTCCTGTTCTGGTATATACACCTTCTGTTCCCCAGTCCTCTGTCCTACCTGGAAGTGAGCCCCTGTGGGCATTTCCCAGAAGACCCAAACAGTAGCCACATTAGAGTTAGGAGATAAGTGGCAGAGCTGGTTACAGGCAAAGGGCCAGTCCTGCAATGCCTCTGTTCCCTCTTGCCTGGGAAGCAGAAGTCCAGTGGTTAGATCAGGCAGGAAAGGAGATGTGTTATTCTAAGTGACTTTCTTCTAGGTTGTTGAGAGGTTAAAGTGAATTAACTCATGCAAAATGCTTGAACTCACACACATTTAGTGTTCAAGAATATTGTCAGCTGGTGTTGTCACAAGATTAGACCCTTTCCCCCAG